CCCCAATACTAGAATTTTTAAATAGAGATTGAATGAAGCAGAAAGCCTATAAGTGGTCCCTATGTCCTCCACCAGTCTGAACCTTAGACTTAGACTTATACAAACTTTATTGTCATTTTGTATGCAGTGTATACAAAACCAAATTTCATTAGATACAGCTCACAACAGGGAATTGAGCAGTGAACAGTGAAATGAACATTGCCATTTATAAGGTCCAGCAGTGATCAGAATGTAAACATTGTAGGAAAAAAGAAACCAGTTTAAACATGATGGTGGAAAAGGGCATTAATATGAAAAAGTTCAATGCTGTGCAAAATAAATATGGTGCAAAATGCAGCAGAACATTGAGTTGTGTCCTATTTAAAAGGACTATAAAAGTTTCAGCCACATTGGTGGTGCAAAAATAATGCTGCAAGTGTGATGTAGAGTCCAGTTTAGAGTTCAACAGTATGATGGGAGCGGAGAAAAAGCTGTTACAGAACCCGCTGGACCTGCAGTGAATGCTGTGAAGCCTCTTCCCAGAGGGCAGCAGGGAGAACAGTCCATGGTGGGGGGGTGAGGGGTCATTGATGATGTGATGGGCTCTAGACACGCAGCGCTGGGATGAAATGTCTTTAATGGAGGGAAAAGAGCCCCCATGATCCTCTCTGCTGTTCTCACCTTCTTCCAGTCTGAGGCGCTGCAGCCTCCACACCACACAGTGAGACAGCTGCTCAGAACGCTCTCTATGGTGCTTCTGTAGAAGGTGGGGAGGATGGGTGGGGGCAGGTGGGCTCTCCTCATCCTCTGCAGGAAGTACATGCACTTCTGTGCCCTTTCAAACATGTTATTTACCTGACTAAGATAGAAACTATGCAAAATATGCATAAATGTAACAACTTATTGAGGTTTTTTGGAACAGTGGTGGTTATAAAGTCTTACAGCTGCTGGGTGGAAGGATCTGTGATAACGTTCACTGGTGCATTTAGGGTGCAGCAGTCTGTATCTAAAGCAGCTCTCCAGTTCTGCAGCAGTTTCATGCATGGGGTGGGAAACATTATCCAACAGAGATGTTAATTTAGTTAGAATCCTTTTGTTTCCCACCTCCTGCACTGAGTCCAAAGGGCATCAAATCACAGAGCTGGCCTTCCTGATCAGCTTATCCAGCCGGTGTCTCTCAGCTAAAGATAAGCCACTGCTCCAATAGAGAGCTCCATAGAAGATGGCTGATGCCAGTCATAGAAGGTCTTTAGGAGCGCCCCCTGCTCTCCAAAAGACCTCAGTCTCCTCAGAAGGAAGAGTCTGCTCTGACCTTTCTTATAACAGCCTCAGTGTTGTGAATCCAGTTTCTTATTCAGATGAAGTCCATTTAGCAGAAAATCCATCTTTGCAACTGTTTCACCAAGCATCACTTCCTCCCAGCATCACACACTTCGTTTTTAGAGGATTAAAGATAAAAGAGCAGATTCAAAGACATTCATTTGGCAAGTACAAATCTCTAATCAGGAATTAGGACCTTCATAATAAGATGCAAGGAAGAACATTTTTTTTCTTGTTAAATCTTACAGATATTTTTTCTGACGATGCAAATAAGGGGCAGATGGGATTAGTTTGAAAAATGTGTGGGGTCGATGCCTTTTTGGAGTAACATAAGTAACCCATTTATCCCGCATTAGGATGGGCGCGGCACTTGCTCGCTTTGATGATGATCCGTGTGAAGGCTTAGATGGACCGCAGGGGGCTGAGTGGATTCCAGGAGAGCAAACAGATGTTCAATGCTTCTCTACTGAGGTGTTGATGACATGTAGAACCAGAGACTGTGACAGTTTTTCAAACTACTTAATATATCTTCAAAAGCAATGGCAGCAGAGGAAGCACTAAAACATACACAATTCTGAGGAATTCAGAGGAACCTTTTTTTTTTTTTACTTTTTCCTAATGATACAAATACACAGTAAAGAGAATAATCTTAAACGGCCAAGTTTATGAGTAAGAACAAGGAATTTGATAAAACATTTCCATCGCAGAAAAAAAGAAGAGCAAACCAGGCATCTTTGAAATACTTATTTAGGATTTAACTAATTGGATAAGATAAAATGGTACTTGGTTGTGAAATGAAAGGAAATGATTATATTTTCTACTTTTATTTTCATGTGTTTAAACTTTAAATGTTTTTTTTAATTTAGCATTAGTCAGTTAAGAAATAAAAACAATAATTTTCGTCGCGATCTCCGAGTCTGGGAGCGGCCATTTTTGCCCAAATATAGTAACCCCTCCTTCCTGCCATCTTCCGGCAGTGATGTCACGGTGCGGTAAGCCTAGCGCCATTCTCTCCGCCTTACAAGCAAAATCAATGGGAACTACTAGACACATCTGCAATCAACAACAATTATTGAAGATTTCCAGAGGACTTCACCATTGAAATTCACCAGAGCTATAGTGAAACTGACAATGCCCACGTGCATGGCAGCTGGATGTTGGAATACATCGGGTAAAATAAAAAAAACGTGTTATTTCACCTTTCCGTGTAATGATGTCAGAATGTTGGACCCAGAATTCGAGGCGAGAGAGGCAGTGGGAAAGTTCAAAGCCTTTATTATGAACAAACAGGTGAGCGGGGCTGCTCATCAGCTGCGGGGCGATTCTCTGAAGAGATAGAAGAATACAGGTCAGTGATTGGATGTGGAGCTGAATGCGACTTGAAGCAAAGTCAATGACTTGATTCAAAGTTCACTCCGTTCACGGAGAAAGAGCCGAATCCAGACGGGAGGTTAGACCACAGTTTGCGGCGGGCGCTGCCCCCAGAGTTCCTAGAGAGCGAGCGGAGCAGGCGCCATCCGAAGCCGAGCAGCAACAGTGTCAAAAGGGGAAATCCAAAGCCCCGAGTCAGACGACAGGTCAAGGTTCAGAAGCCAGTAGAATCCAGGAATCAATCCAAAACAGATCAGACAAACAGAGCAGACGGGGGCACGGCAAAAACAGAATGGACTTCAGAAACTAGAGTTAGTCTCACCAAAACGCTCGAATAACCTGGCGCTGATGGAAGGCAAGCACACAACATAAAAAGCAGAGGAACCAGGTGGAAATGATCAGCATTAATCAGCTGCTGGTCCAATTAGACAGAGGAGCAACGAGCAACGGAAAAAACCAAACCATCAGCACCAAGATCATGACATCATGATCCTCTATGGACGGGTTCGTTGTTGGATTGCCAAAGTCAAGAGGGAGGATTTGCCATTGAACTTCTGGCCAGAGAAAAAACACATAATATGTAGCCAACATTTGGAAGAAAAATGTTTCCAAGATGACTTGGATAATAGCGCTTTGTGACAAACAGCAGATACAACACTGGGACTTGATCAACAGCCGATACCGCACTGTGACGTCACTAACCCACCAGTAGGTGGCAGTAGTGTAGTAATAGTGACAGTATATAATAATTTCATAAGTACTTCCAGATGTATGAATCCTGAGTATGACCGGACTTCTCCTTTAAGGAAACCCCTTTCTCTGCGGTTAGTGTGGCTCAAACTCAGATTGGTTGAACAGAATATGTGAACATTTATATCTAAGGTTTTCCAAATTCAAAGTCTGTTGTAGTGACAGCTAAGAGAAAATGCAAAGTTTTTGATTTACTGATCATCTTCCTTCTACCCTCAAGAAGGAGATCCTGAAATGAGCTTCTCTTTAGGGTGTCATGGCTACCCTGCAGAATAGCAGTAACGTTTTCCACACTATTTCTCCTTTCCTTTCAGTGTTTAGCTCAAACCATTTGCAGAAAACTCCTCCCCATTAAATGATAGCAAAAACAACAAATACACCAAATATATTAAATAATTTATCATCCATAATTTCACATCATAATTCAAGGGGGAATTATGAGCTATTTTAGATTCAAATTAAAGAAAGAAAAAAAATATCTGCATAAATAAACACATAACAGCACAGCAGCTCATCTAGCATCAGTTTCACCTCTTTGTTTTTTCCCTCTGTGCTCTTTGTTCCTAACCATAGTTTCTGTTTCCTCAGGACTATGACGACGGCTATGGAACTGCTTATGATGACCAGGGATATGAATCTTATGACAACAGCTACAGTAATCAAGGACAAAAGTAAGTTAATGGTTTGTTAAGATAAATCCAAAATGATTCATACTGCTGGTTTGATTCATTTATCTAAGACATTTCTTTCTTACGCCTTTTAATGGCACCTATAGGCAAATATAAGATGAAATAACACCTTCAACACTGTGGATTATTAATTTGTCAATGTTGTGATACTATTTAATCAGCGCATTCATGGAATAAATTCAACACAACTTCCATTCAAAATATAAGGTTATTAACAGAAATCATTCAGCTTCAAGTCAAACATATTTCCGCTAAAAACTATTGACTAAAAACTGCTGAAACTAACTAAAAGACTAAACCTAAAGAGGTAGGAAAACATGGTTTAAAACCATATCACAGTTTAGAGCGATTTTAATGTTTTCAGACCAATTCACAATGCAAATCCATGAGATGAATAAAACATTATTTGGCCAAATAATGTTTTATTAAATGATTTGCTTAAGCGGGAACTAATAACCTTTAGTTAAAAGATTCTTTACCCTCTTTGAGGATTCATTATTAGACGTTTGGTCATAATTTGGTTATCAAAATGTAATGAGCATATAACATTATATCAGTGTTTAAACTCTTGCTTGTCCAAGATTCAACAACAGCTCAAAATATATTATTGTAGCATTGCGTACCATACAATCCATCCTGTTAGCTTTGTCTTTACTCATCAGTAAACACATAAAAAATCATTAAAAAAATATTATATATATATATATATATATAATATATATAAAAAAAAAAAGGCTTCTTTAGGTGATTTTCACCTCCAGTCCACCTCTGTACTGTAAGTTTTTAAACTTCGAGAAATGTGTTGCAAATGGTTTATTTTTCCAGCAGTTCAGTTATGGAACGCCAAGCATCACAACTTAGCCTTGGTCATTCTGGAGATCTGGACCGTGGGCCTGGGTCTCCGTGGTGGTTTCCTCTTCCAATGCGAACCCCCGGGCAGCTTTACGGAAAGAAAGAGAAATCCTGTATGGTGTTGCAGAGCAAAGAAGAGAGCCCTCACTATTTTATTAGCAAAACTCCATCCTCTTCTCCAGTTAACATGTTAAGATGAAACATGGACATTGGTCCTCCATGTCCAAAATTATTATCATGGTTTATGTCCCAACATCAGGGAGGGTACAATCTCCCTCATGGTGAATTCTTCCCCAATCTGAATGTCGCCCGATTAATTAAGTTGCAGTAAGACACCACTTCTAAAGGAAGAACAAAAAAACTGTTTTTCACATCTTTAACATTAGCTGAAAAAAAGAAAAAAAGAAAAGCGCAGTTAAGCTAACTGCTTCCTGTAGGGGTCATTCTAACATAGATATTTGCTATCTGCTCATTTCCACAGATCAGGGAGGGGCTGATGCATGAATCAAGGGAATATCGCTTTGGTCACAATTTTGAAGAATCAGTAGAATTATAACATAAAAGCTAAAAACATAGTTAATGTTACAGCTATAAAAAGCTTTAAAGGCTGTCTTGCCATCACCCTAATCAGTTTCAATTCATAACTTTGGCTGGGCCATTTCTAAATGTCAGCATTTCTTTAAGACAAAGAAAAAAGAAAGTATTATTTTAAAACAGACGTCCCCAAAGTTGGTCCTGGGGGGCCGCTGTCCTGCAGGTTTTAGAGGTTTCCCTGCTTTAGCACAGCTGATAATGATGGTTGCAGTTGGGGCCAGCCTGTTAATCAGCTTTCAATTAAAATCAGCTGTGCTGGAGCAAGAAAACATTTAAAACCTGCAGGACAGTGGGCCTCAAGGACCGACTTTGGGGATACCTGTTTTAAAAACCTCCTTTTGTTTGGATTTTTGTTATACAATTGTGACTAGTGATGGGTTTATGAGGCGTCAAGAAGCGTTTCGACGCATTGACAAACTGTATTGATACTTTTCCATACTGTGTCACTAAATATTGAAACCTGCTGGACATTTAAAAACACTACATGCAGACTCAAACAGACTAAACTGATTTGATTTCCTATATTAAAATCATATGCTTTAATGTATATTTCAGATTTTCGTTTAAATTGAAAATATGTTCGAAATTCTCCGATTTTTTGACAATCCATACATCTGAACAGATAACGAGAACATTTAAGTGAGCATGTGGGACTAGGATTTATGTATTTATTTATTTAAGATAATAACTACATGAAGACAGCAATGCGAATTTGGATAATTTCAGTGATAAACGAGAGGAACAGGATGACAGGATCTATTTTTTCTCGATTAATTTGAAGATAAATTGCAAAACATCAGAATTTGTTTTTGGCAGATTTGTTGCGTTGACAGGTGAGCTTATAAACACAGTTTAGTGCGTAAGTCCGTTGGAAACAGCTCCTTCTTCTTTCTTCTTTTTTGAAACGAGACGTCCACCGACACAAGGTATTGCTGTTAGAGCTAGAGACATCGGTGTTGCTGGACCCATTACTAATTGTGTCCATGAGACGGCTTTAAGGGTGAGTGAACATGTTCTGCATCAAACTTAAAAAAAAAAAAGATGTTTTTTTTAATTAATATATTTCTGTTTGTTAATTAAATTTGGTAGCATCTTTGTAGAACAAATTGCACAAACTTAAAATGCCCTTTATATTTTATTAAAAAACATACAATATAGCAGCCAAAAGACACAGTTAAATACACAGCGCTGTCAAGATTAAACAGATTTTAAAATGGGAAATCTGAATCACAGATTCTACCAGTCGATACCAAAAAATTCTGACCTTAAACTATCCTCCTTTTTTTTATTTTCATTGGGAAAAAATGTCTTTACTAATAAGGAAAGCATTCCTGTGATGACATGCAGCACACCTGTTCAACGCAGCGTTGCTAAACACGACAATCCATCAACGTCTGGCGGATTAAGCCGTGGTGGTTTATGTTTACAGTTAACCAGAAAAACCACACACTAACATGGATGATCGTTTTTGAATCCTAATCAGTGGAACACGCAGAAAAAAGCCAGAGAATCCGAGGGATTAAAAAAACATGACGCTGCACACAGAAAAGCCCCAGCCGAGATCTCAGCACTGATTTTATGCCATGTTCACTTTATTATGCCTTTCTGAAGTATTCCCACTGCTTTAGCTTCTTTATATTTGTCACATTAACCATATTCAATGTGTGTCATATTTGAAATATATGTGATAAACAAACACAAAGTAGTGCTTCTCTGTGAAATTAACCGAAGAAAATATTTTCCTTGTAAAGATATGAAAAATATGGCGTGTATTTGTATAGAAGTACCTACTTATAAATCTATACTTTGATTAAAACAGCTACAGCTGTATGTAATCTAGAACACGACAAACTCAAGTTATTTCTGCCTTTCTTTATGCCAATTCACTCTAACGTATGATGAGGAATGCTTCAAATACCTCATCAAGTCTCAATCGAACAGCAGTATAAGCTTTGGTTGAATGTTGTTAGCAAATTAATCTCTTCAGAGCTTTAAAATTATCCAGATCTGTCAAATTACATAAATGTTCTCTTAAATAATATAATTATATATAGTATCACTGTTTGTAGTCGTAATGTGACCAATCTGGAAAGGTTGAAAGGGGCATGAAGTAACTTGTGATGCACTTTATAATCCACTCGTCCAGATTTGGTTTTGGTTTGCTTAAATTCTCCCAGGATTACAAAAAATTCTTGTTTGTTTTGTTTCACTTGTGCATTTTACCTTAAATATTTTATTCAGTACAACTAAGTGCCTCAGTGGATGAAGTGATTTATTGCAGATCACTTAAGAGCATGAAGCCTTATTTATTCAAATAATTTCCTTAAAAACTGGTAGAAATCATGTTTTTGTTGGGGTTTTTTTCCCCTTGAATGTAATCATTTGTAAACTAAAAACGTTTTTTTTTTTTTTGCAAAATATTAGTTTTTTTCGTATAATAAGCTCTGATAAATATGTTTTTAGTTTGAACACCTCAAATTAAATGTGTGTCATCTATCAAGCTGAAACTCAGAACATTGAACAGTAAAGAATAAAAAAAAAACTTTTTTTTCTTCCAGCTTAAAATTATCTATTACTTAAATTAAAATATTTTACTAAATATTTACCTAACTGCTCTTCCTTTTTTGAAGAAATATTAACAATAATTTAGATTTGGTTAACCTTACATTGGTGTTAACATTCTGAATGATTCCCCCACACACACACACCTATATATTGCACATATATTGCATAGTTGCAACATATATAGGAAATATATGACAATAATGTCACAATATTTTGGGATTAAAGAAGTAATGACAGAAAAAAAGCCACAATACCAGGTAATAATGTAGGTCTATGAGAATAGAATGATAGCATAAGAAAATAAAGTTGTACCATTACCAAATCAGTGTAATAACAGTACTAGAATAACGTCAAAATGTTACAGGAAAAAAAAATTTACTTTAGAAGAATATCATTGCAATATTACAAGAATAATGTTATAGGCTAATATTATTGGATTAAATAAATAGTCTACTTTAATCCAAACTCTTCCCACTGAGTTTAAATACTTGATTAAGGCTCCAATTGGGATGAGGTTGGAGGATAACTACATGGAAACATTAATCTTATCTTTGTCTCATTAAATTATCACTTTGCTTAAATTTTGTTATGACTTTATTTTCCAAGTATTACGACTTGATCTTGTAAATTAAAAGTAGTCTTAGTATGGCCCTGTTACTATTAGGTTCTTAAATACCTGGTATTGAAGAACCATAAGTATCTTTGTAAACAATGCATTTAGACTTTTGGAGGTGTCATATTTAGGAAAATTGTCGGAGCGCTGATTAAGCTGCTATCTTCAACAGAGCTGCCATCTTGAAAAAAAAAAAGACGTTGAAGTAGTTTAGTTTCTCCTAAAACATAATCCTAGCCATCTCTGAGGACATCGCTATGATCCTAAAACAAACATGTAAAGACATGAAAAACTGGTGGTTCATCCGTAAACATTCCTGAGAAATCAGTGATAATAAAAAAGATGCCGACCTTTTGTC